TTCTTCCGTGGATCGCAGGAGTGCAGTTTTTTCTGCACTCCTGTGACCCGTTTTCAGCTGACAGCAGGCTGAAGCCATTTGATCACTGAAGTCATGTGATCACCGAGTTCTCAGAGCAGAGAGCGGTGACTGACAGTCATCGCTCTCTGCTCACAGTGGCAGTGAGAACTCAGTGAATGACAGTCATGTGATTGCAGAATTCCCGTACTTAAGAGTCGCTGGGGGACAGATGCAGCATTGGAGCGATGCTGCATCCACCTAGGTAAGTTAAAAAAAAAAAAAATACATCCCACACTTTTTTTATGAATATATATATATATATATATACACATACATACACACACACACACACACACATACATACACACACACATAAAAAAAAAAAAAGGAAAAAAAAAAAAAAAGGAGGCAGGCAGATGATGTCACAATCTTCATCTCGGCCAATCGCAGAAAGCCTTGTATTCATTGATAAAAATACAAGCCTTCTCCTGAATGGCAGAGATGTGCTAATACAAAATCTTCCAGGGTACCAAGGCAAGCTGCTCGTACTGCTGGTGGAACACACAGCTGCTTTCTTTTTGTAACCAATGTGTATTAAAGCAGCCAAACCATTCCAGGATGTAAAAAAATTGGGCCAGCTTGGCCTAAACAGACCATTTGAAGCTGAACTGCAGTTTTCTACGACTTTTAAAATAGTTTGTTTATACCAGCAATTTGCTGCATAAACTGTATGTGGCATCAGCTATGTACAGTGCTGCGTTTCGGCATTGGTATCGGGACTTCCCATCTTGCTCCCAGAACAAAATTGAGTCCGGCTGAGCGCTGCTCATCCATTCACAGGAAGCCTTGCATTTTCTGAATGAGCACAATGCTTTCTCTGATTGGCTGAGATGTAAATCTTGACGTCAGCCGCCTGCCTCTCCACCAATATAGAGAAAGCCTTGTATTCATTCAGAATATATAAAGCTGCCTGTGAATGGCTGACCGTCGTTCAGCCTGACTCCATTTTGTTCCAGTACGAACACGGAGTTGAATACTGTGTGTAGCTGATAGAGCGCTTTGTTCAAACAAGTATTTTGAAGTGACAGAAAGCTGGACTTCTCCTTTAAAGTGTCACTAAACCCACCACAGTACAATCAGTCTGTATATGCAGTAAAGCGTGCTTGGTATACACACTGTGGAACCTAAGGGGTTAATCCTGCATTGTGTAAAAATATTGTTTGATCCCGTTTTCACTGCTCCTCCTCTTGTACAAATGTCCATGTCTTATCTCCTGATAAGCCAGACTGAACCCGTAGCCACATGCACATGCTCAGTTTGGTGTGTATTGCTAGAGAGGTTTTTTTTTTTTTTTTGTCTTTGGAGAGTGCATGTGATCAGCATAGGGCCAATCAGCACTGGTCAGACAGAAGTCAGGGGTTCTGCATCCTCCTAGAGCAAAAAGAAAACTCCTCCTACAAACTTTAACCAGTGCTTTGCTGAAGTCACAAGACTACTATATACTGCTGATGAGAAAGAGTATTAAGCAGTTTATATTTACTAAAATAATTGCATTTCCATGTTCTGTGTACTGTGGGAAACCAGATATAGTGAATGCAGGGTCCAGGGAGAGCAGATATAGTGAATGCAGGGTCCGGGGAGAGCAGATATAGTGAATGCAGGGTCCGGGGAGAGCAGATATAGTGAATGCAGGGTCCGGGGAAGACCGGATATAGTGAATGCAGAGTCCGGGGAGACCGAATACAGTGAATGTAGGGTCCGGGGAGACCAGATATAACCAATGCTGGGTCCGGGGAGACCAGATATAGCCAATGCAGGGTCCGGGGAGACCAGATATAGTGAATGCAGGGTCCGGGGAGACCAGATATAGTGAATGCAGGGTCCGGGGAGACCAGATATAGTGAATGCAGGGTCCGGGGAGACCAGATATAGTCAAAGCAGGGTCCGGGGAGACCAAATATAGTGAATGCAGGGTCCAGGGAGACCAGATATAGTCAATGCAGGGTCCAGGGAGACCGGATATAGTGAATGCAGGGTCCAGGAAGACCAGATATAGTCAATGCAGGGTCCGGGGAGAGCGGATATAGTGAATGCAGGGTCCGGGGAGACCAGATATAGTGAATGCAGGGTCCAGGGAGACCAGATATAGTCAATGCAGGGTCCAGGGAGACCAGATAGTCAATGCAGGGTCCTGGGTTTAGTAACACTTTAAGCTATTGGAAGGTCCTCGTTAACCTTTTTACAACAGATATGTGCCATGGCAAAAAGGTGGGCTTTATTGCCCACATGCCACAAATATGCATGCTGGGTAGCTGACTTTTCTGTGCTAGAAGTGCGCTCAATGCATGCTTCCAACACTGAGACTGAGTTGTCAAGGACAGCACTTGGTCCCTGTTAAAGGAGAAGTGTGGGGACTGAAAAGAATAAACACACACACTTACCCACCATCAGATCAATGCTGCAGCTGTCCCACGCCTCCTCTAAACCTGAGAGCTGAGCAGTCACATGACCACTGTTAGCTCAATTCTCAGGTCCACTCTGAGCAAAAAGCAGTGGCTGTCAATCAGACATTGGTCTGTGCTCTGCCCTTCCAGTGCTCACTGGAGCACCGGCCTGGAAAGGTAGGCAGAAGCAGCTGGCTCAGGCTCTCAACGGCACGCTAAGAGGCTGAGCCAGCTGCCAGTCAGGAATCTAGGTGTATCCCGACTTTATTGTCAGGATCCCCTCAGAGTCTGGAATAGCTCTGTGACATCAGCTCGTGCTCGGCTGATTCTGGGTCACAAGTGTGCAAAAGTAAGTGAGAACTATTGGGTGGCACAGTGGCTTAGTGGTTAGCACGTCTGCCTTGCAGTAAATGGGTCATTGGTTCGAATCCCAACCACGGCACCACCTGCCTGGAGTTTGCATGTTCTCCTTGTGCTTGCGTGGGTCTCCTCCGGGTGCTGCAGTTTCCTCCCACACTCCAAAGACATACTGGTAGGTTAATTGAATCCTGTCTAAATTGGCCCTACTATGTGTATGTATGAATGTAAGTTAGGGATCTTAGATTGTACTCCCCTTGAAGGTTAGGGACTGATGTGAATGTACAATATATATGTACAGCGCTGACTAAATTGACGGCGCTATATAAGTACCTGAAATAAATAATAATAAATAAATATGGCCAAAAAAGCATTGGCCATTCTTCTGTTTTTTATGATTAGTAGCCTGCGGGACCAGCTCACAATCATGCAACCACTCCCCCTCTCTGTTGGGGTCCCTCAAGGCTCTGTCCTCGGGCCCCTTCTCTTCTCCATCTACACCTCCTTCCTTGGCCAACTTATACACTCTCACGACTTCAACTACCACCTCTATGCCGACGACACACAAATCTATCTCTCAACCCCCCACCTCACCCCCTCGGTCTCCGCCCGAATCACACACCTACTGAGCGACATATCAGACTGGATGTCGCTCCACTTCCTTAAACTGAACCTCTCCAAAAGCGAGTTTCTTGTCTTCCCCCCAGCCCAGTCACCACCCCCATTGACTTCTCCATCACATCCAACAACGCCACCATCAAACCTGCCCCGCAGGCCAGAGTACTTGGTGTCATTCTGGACTCCAACCTATCCTTCCAGCCCCAAGTCCAATCTTTAACTCGTGCAGACTCCACCTCCGCAACATCGCCAAAATCCGCACGTTCCTAACCCCAGAAACCACTAAACAGCTCATCCACTCCCTCATCGTATCACGACTCGACTACTGCAACTCCCTCCTCACTGGCCTGCCTCGCCGCTGGCTATCCCCGCTTCAGTCCATCCTGAATACGGCTGCCAGACTCATTCACCTTTCCAACCGCTCCATCTCCGCCACCCCCCCCTCTGCCAATCCCTCCACTGGCTTCCGATTGTGCAACGGATCAAATTCAAAATCCTAACACTGACGTACAAAGCCGTCCACCATACTGCCCCGAACTACATCACTGACCTAATATCCAAGTACCGCCCAACACACACACTCCGCTCCTCACAAGACCTCCTTCTCTCTAGTTCCCTGGTCTCCTCCTCCCATGCCCGCCTCCAGGACTTCTCCAGGGTGTCACCCATCCTCTGGAACTCCCTGCCCCAACCCATCAGATTATCACCTACTCTCCTCTCCTTTAGGCGCACCCTGAAAACCCACCTCTTCAGGGAAGCCTACCCCACCCCCTGCTAACTTGCCAACCTCCTCCACTCTTCCTACCACCCCATCCCCCACAGCTATCTCCTCCTGTGCCACCATCCCCTCCCTCCTAGATTGTAAGCTTGTAAGAGCAGGCCCCTCAATCCCCTCATGTTTTCCATTGTATTGGTATTGTTCTGTCACATGTTCTGTCCCCCTTTGTAATGTACAGCGCTGAGCGAACCATTGGCGCTTTATAAATACTGTATAGTAATAATAATGTACAATATATATGTATGTACAGTGCTGCGTAAATTGACAGCGCTATAGAAGTGCCTGAGATAAATAAATAATAATAAATAAATATGGCCAAAAAAGCATTGGCCATTCTTCTGTTTTTATGATTAGTAGCCTGCGGGACCAGCTCACAATCATGCGACCACTGCAACCGTGGTCAACTGATCAGCCAATCTTTCTGTCCCCTCGGCGTTCATAACGTTTTAAAGAGACGCCGGGGCAGGGTGAAGCTGCTAATATTTAGATGTATAACTAGAAAATGTAAAACAGACTGTAGTTTCCATTTAAAATTGCCTCCCGTGTTCTAAATGAATGTGGCAGCCGTGCGTTATGCTTTGTACTCGGCAGCTGTTTTATGTGCAGCGCATTAGATAAAGTGCTAGACGAGGAAATGCATTAACTAAACTCAGTTAAAAAGACAATTATTGAACCAGGAGGGTTCCTGCAGACACTCACCCACACTCAGCTATTAGGTGCCGGCAGGAAGTCACACAAATGAGATCTACCTGCAGGCGAGCTGCATTGCCGAGTCATCAACGTTGTAAACGGACACGGCTTACCTTGCAAACCTCTCCTTGTCGTTGGGAAGCTGGTCATCATCACACCTGGAATTCACAAGACATACGAGTTTATTAGACACATCAGACTGGCGTCTCTTTAAGCGTCTCTTCCACCGCCATGTGTAACATAGATCAGTCTTACATCAGAAATGTTCTTTTTTTTTTTTTTTTTTTTTTTTTTTAATTTTTGGCATAAGAAAACATTGTGTGAATAGAACATGATCCAAAAGGACCGCTGTCTATAGAAGATAAAGAAATACATTTTCAAACACACACGCCATCATCGCAGCAGCTGGTGGTAAAACATTTGTTTTACCATGTGTGACTGCAACATACATAACCGCATTGGAGGAACCGGATTGGTTGCAGTCTGCAAAAATTTCCATGGGGCCCCCATCCTGCAAGGGTTAAACGTTTGATTTGTCTGGGGCAGGGTTCCCAAACTCCGGCCCATGGGCCAGATCCGGCCCACAGCTAGGGTCAGTGGCATATTCTCAAAGTGGACAGATTGAGGATTCAGGTCAGCAGAGACTGCCTATGGTCTACTTCAACCTGATGGAAGGGAGGACTCTGGCAGGGGGCCCCCGATGGAGGGGAGGGCTCTGGCGGGGGCCCCCAATGGAGGGGAGGGCTCTGGCGGGGGCCCCCAATGGAGGGGAGGGCTCTGGCGGGGGGCCCCCGATGGAGAGGAGGGCTCCGGCGGGGGACCCCGATTAAGAGGAGGGCTCCGGCGGGGGACCCCCGATGGAGAGGAGGGCTCCGGCGGGGGACCCCCATACTAAGGGAGGACTCCGCCGTGGGACCCCTGTTCTAATGGAGGACTCCGCCGTGGGACCCCCGTTCTAATGGAGGACTCCGCCGTGGGACCCCCGTTCTAATGGAGGACTCCGCCGTGGGACCCCCGTTCTAAGGGAGGACTTCGCCGGGGGCCCTGATCTAGAGGAGAACTCCGGCGGGGGGCCCCCGATCTAAGGGAGGACTCCGGTGGGGGAGCCCCGTTCTAAGGGAGGACTCCGGCAGGGGGCCCCCGATCTGGAGGAGGACTCTCGCCAGGGGCCCCCGATCTAGGGGAGGACTCTGAAAGGGACCCTAAAGGAAGGGGAGACCTTGATGGGTAATCTGATGAAATTTGGGACTCTGGCGGGGGCCCCCAATGTAAGGGGGGGGACTCTGGCGGGGGGTCCCAATGTAAGGGGGAGGGGACTCTGGCGGGGACCACCGATGTAAGGGGGGAGTGGAGACTCTGGCGGGGGCCCCTGATGTAAGGGGGGGGTGGACTCTGATCGGGATTCTGATGTAAGGAGAACTCTGATAGGGACCATAATGTAAGGGGAGACATTAATAGGGATCCTGATGACATTTGGAACTTTGATGTTAGGGGGGACTCTGATGGGGATCCCGATGAAAAGTGGGACTCTAATGTTAGGGGGGACTCTGACAGGGAACCTAATGTAAAGGGAAGACTCTGACGGGGACCCCACTGTAAAGAGGGCCTCTGACTGGTACCTTAATGTAAATGGGGGAAACCTGGCCTGTTGCTTACTTAACCCCCACTCCCGCCAGTTCCAGAGCTGTCGTCTTCTGCCTCTGGCGATCCAGGTTGTAAGTGGTCCCTCATAATATACAACATGCAGGACTACTAGCACTGCACTGTATGTGGAGGAGGCAGGAGTGCTACTGTGGCTAGGAGCATCTTAGAGAGCAGGCTTTGGGGGACCAATCACATTGCTGGAGGGACAGTGCTGAAGCAAGGTAGACGGTAAACATCTCACCTAATAACATGGATCCCTTGCAGCGTGTCCTGCCCCACTACAAGGATAGGATTTTTTCTTGTTGATAGGAGTTGTGCTTTAATAAATATGATCCAACTTTGAAGATTACAGTCTTTGGATTTGGCAAATATAGGAATTATCCTCCAGTGATGACATACAGTGGGGGAGATTTACTACACCTGGAGCACTCAGAATCTGGTAGCCAATCAGCTTCTAACATCACCTTGTTCAATGTACCTATGACAATAAAACCTGAAATCTGATTGGTTTCTATGCAGCGCTGCACCAGATTCTGCATGCTCCGTTTTAGCAAATCTCACCCACAATGTCTATACTTTCATAACAAAAACAAAAGATATCTGTGGCGTAAAGTCGATGTCAAACTAAAGCCGGCCATACACGGATCGAATTCTGAAAGAATTTTCTTTAGAAATTTTTTTCGAAGAATTTTCGTTTGAATTTCGCACCATTAGTGGGCCACAGAAATGGCCGATATCATCGAATCTGAGTAATCGGGCATGTTGGAAATTTTTTTGAAAAACGAACGAATTTCTAATCAATGATGGGAGAATTGTGCGAGAAATTTAATTGAAAAATGAGCGTGAGCTGTGACCTGGAGAGAAAAGAAAATTCTTAGCAACAAAAATTATTTTCTGTAGCAACATGTGAAATTGAAGGCTTGGTGGGTTGAATTTCGAAATCAATGGTGGCGCCCTCGGATTATAAAACGCACAAAACTTCTGATTTCCTAAAGAAAATTTGTTCAGAATTCAACCGTATGGCCTGCATTACTGGCGAGAATTTATTAGTATCAGGATCACTGATTTGTATGAGTCACTCCAGCTAAACAAGTGAAGCATCACTCCCTTACTGGTGAAAAAAGCTGCCAATTTCAGGTCGCCGAAGAGACTGACGTCATCCTGCCAGCAAGAAAGCACCATGTGCAAGCAGCCGGTGAGTGCTTATCATCCCTGCTCTGTCCGCCATGGCGATTTTGTTGCTGGCAAGTTCTTGCAAGTGACAGGACTGCAATAGTGACATCAGCCTACAAATAATGGAAGGAAGTCTTCAGGTGGCTATCGAACAAACAGGACGCAATCCCACAATGATGAAATGAGAAAACTACCTGAGGAATTTATTGCTGGAATCGTCGTCGTCGTCATCAAAATCCAACCTGAGGAGAACAAATGAAATTCACAATGAGAAATACATAAAATGAAAAGAGTGTCCAGCAAATCAATCAGACCATCTGCATCATCGAACCCTCTCAGGATCTAGAATATACGACTGTCATAAGATGCGGTTTGCAGCAATCTCAGAGTGTGGGGCTGAACTAATCACAGCTGTCATGGCTCCTGGAAAAAACGAGCCTAGAAAGTCCCTGAGGCCTCGTTCACACAGATGTGAGGAAGGTAATAATAGCTGTCCTGAGCCCATGGGCCTAATGACGTTCAATTCCACGGCCGTAACCTACATATGTACCGCTATCTCACAAAAATTTGGGGGTTTCCTGGGCATGATTGGCAATAAAAAAAAATGTATTTATTTTTTTTATTTCAGGTACTTGTATAGTACTTACCATTAATTTATGCATTATATATATATATATACACATACATACACATATACACACACACACACACACACATATATACACACATACATACACACACATATATATATACACACACACACACACACACATACACATAAATATAAATATATATACAAACATACACATACAGTCCCTAACCCTCAAGGGGCGTACAATCTAAGGTCCCTATCCCTCAAGGGGTGTACAATCTAAGGTCCCTAACCCTCAAGGGGTGTACAATCTAAGGTCCCTAACCCTCAAGGGGTGTACAATCTAAGGTCCCTAACTCACATTCATACATACACATACTAGGGACAATTTAAACAGGATCCAATTCACCTACCAGCATGTCCTTGGAGTGTGGGAGGAAACCGGAGTACCTGGAAGAAACCCACGCAGGCACAGAGAGAACATGCAAACTCCAGGCAGGTGGTGCCGTGGTTGGGATTCAAACCAATGACTCTACTACTGCCAGGCGGAAATGTTAACCATGTAGCCACTGTGTATTTGTTCACATCTCTACTTGGATTTACAAATCTGATGAGGAAGGAATGGGTGTGATAGAATGAGTCTGCAGAGTGACTGAAAAGTGCACCTTCCCATGTATACTGATCTTACCAGCGTACCAGCGCTCCCACGCAGCACCTGCCTCTGCCACTGCTAAAATGCAAGCTGCATCCATGGCAAACAGATCACCCAGAATTCTCCCCCCCCCGAGGTGGGCTTTAAATGCCCAGCCACCTCACATATGAGTCCACAGTGGCATGAGGCTTGTGTGCCGACAGTGTGCTCACACATACTGACCAAGCTGTCACCAACAGCCCTCAGCCAGGGCTTCTGATCAGGAGCTAGGGGGACAGGATCCCGATCACATGAGCCAAACACAGTGGTCACACCACCTCGCCGTGGCACTTTAAGTGGGTTTCAATGCCTGGCAACGTGGCTTCTGTATCATGTGACCACTGTTTTTGGCTCACACCGCCTTGCCGTGGCCCTTTCAGTGGGTTTTAATGCCTGGCGACATGGCTTCTGTATCATGTGACCACTGTTTTTGGCTCACACCGCCTCGCCGTGGCCCTTTCAGTGGGTTTTAATGCCTGGCGACGTGGCTTCTGTATGTGACCACTGTTTTTGGCTCACACTGCCTAGCCGTTGCCCTTTCAGTGGGTTTTAATGCCTAGCAACATGGCTTCTGTATCATGTGACCACTGTTTTTTTTTTGCCTCACACCGCTTTGCCATGGCCCTTTCAGTGTGTTTTAATGCCTGGCGACGTGGCTTCTGTATCATGTGACCACTGTTTTTGGCTCACACCGCCTCGCCGTGGCCCTTTCAGTGGGTTTTTTTAATGCCTGGCGACATGGCTTCTGTATCATGTGACCACTGTTTTTGGCTCACACTGCCTAGCCGTTGCCCTTTCAGTGGGTTTTAATGCCTGGCAACATGGCTTCTGTATCATGTGACCACTGTTTTTGCCTCACACCGCTTTGCCATGGCCCTTTCAGTGGGTTTTAATGCCTGGCAACATGGCTTCTGTATCATGTGACCACTGTTTTTGCCTCACACCGCCTCGCCGTGGCCCTTTCAGTGGGTTTTAATGCCTGGCGAAATGGCTTCTGTATCATGTGACCACTGTTTTTGGCTCACACTGCCTAGCCGTTGCCCTTTCAGTGGGTTTTAATGCCTGGCAACATGGCTTCTGTATCATGTGACCACTGTTTTTGCCTCACACCGCCTCGCCGTGGCCCTTTCAGTGGGTTTTAATGCCTGGCGACGTGGCTTCTGTATCATGTGTCCACTGTTTTTGGCTCACGCCGCCTCACCGTGGCCCTTTCAGGGGGTTTTAATGCCTGGCGATGTGGCTTCTGTATCATGTGACCACTGTTTTTGGCTCACACCGCCTAGCCGTGGCCCTTTCAGTGGGTTAATGCCTGGCAACGTGGCTTCTGTATCATGTGTCCACTGTTTTTGGCTCATGCCGCCTCGCAATGGCCCTTTCAGTGGGTTTTAATGCCTGGCGACGTGGCTTCTGTATCATCTGTCCACTGTTTTTGGCTCACACTGCCTAGCCGTTGCCCTTTCAGTGGGTTTTAATGCCTGGCGACGTGGCTTCTGCATCATGTGACCACTGTTTTTGGCTCTCACACTGATCACATGATCAGGAGCCTATCCCCCGGCTCCTCATCAGAGGCCATGACTGAAAACTACTACTGGCAGCTTGGATAGTAAGCTTTGAATATTGAGTTAAAAAAAAAAAAAAAAAAAAAAAGTCTCACCTAAACTTTTTGTTGCTGCAGTGCACGCAGCCTGTCCTGCACGCTGTAGACTGCAGGATGGACAGCACCTCCTTCCCCTCCAGTTTCTGACCATGCAAGCTCAAGCAGACGAATATTAAACGAGGCTGAAAGCTCAACTCCAGGCAAAAAAAAAAATTTCCATTCAGTAGGACTGTGCCCACACTGAATCAGTTAACTGCTATTTTTTTTTCTTTGTACTAGGGGAGAAGAGAGCGGATATATACTTACCTGATCCTCCCAGCGGAAGACTTGTCCGGCACCCCCCACGCTCCAGCGGTCTTGAATAGTGGGACTGTTCCTGACGTCATCATGCGCAGAGCAGGCTCCAAAGACCAGGAACAGTCCACTGCTGGACCGTGGGGGAGCGCTGTTTTCTGGAGCAAGGAAGGATCGGGCTATTATGAGCTTTCTACTCACCCCAAGAAAAAAAAAAGCAGTTGACCCATGCAGTCCAAGCATAGCCGCACTGCATGAGAAAAAGATTTTTGCCCAGAGATCGGCTTTAGTTGATTTTGTGCCATCTCTGGCTCCATGCACTTGCCCAAGACAAGCGCCGTCACCAGGAAAGTAAAGGGACTTTGCAAACCCAAGAAGGCTAATAATAATAAGCTATGAAAGCTCAAAAAGGCGAATTATAAAAAGGAGGCTCATGCCTCGTGCACACGATCGGAAAATCGGTCGATGGATACCGATTTCAGAGCAATCGTACTATAATCTGATCGTTAGTACACAGCTTTCGAGAGCTTGTGAAAATTTTTCTCGTACGAAACCAGAATGAACGGTTTTCAATTAAACAATATAGTATTCGTACGGAAAAAAAAAAGGACCAAGATCACATGTGATCAGAAAGAATAGTTCTAGAATAAAGAAATAAAAAGATTTTATTCCAAAAAATTGTTGCAATTATGGAAAAAAAAAAATGTATTTCCATATTTGTATATACTTTTCTGGACCACCATTAGATTTAGATTGTTTAACAATCACTGAAATGTAATTTCACCTTTTCAAAAAAATTGAAAAAGCTACATCCTCCCCAGGCACCCCCCCTTTCCCAGTCCTCTCTGCACTTACTTACAAAAATGATTAGCTTTCACTGCCCATGCAGCCGCTGCAGGGGTCCGGGGATTTGCTGCGGCCTTCTTCCCCTACTTTCTTTAGGAACAGATCAGAGCGTTTCTGATTGGTCACCTGCAGGCACATGACTGCTTTGACTTATCTCCACAGGGAGATTAACTTTCGCTGCCCACCAGCCAGTGCAGGGTTCTGAGAATTCAAAGCTGTCCACCAGCCAGTGCAGGGTTCTGAGAATTCAAAGCTGCCCACCAGCCAATGCAGGGGTCTGAGAATTCAAAGCTGCCCACTAGCCAGTGCAGGGTTCTGAGAATTCAAAGCTGCCTACCAGCCAGTGCAGGGTTCTGAGAATTCAAAGCTGCCCACCAGCCAGTGCAGGGTTCTGAGAATTCAAAGCTGCCTACCAGCCAGTGCAGGGTTCTGAGAATTCAAACATGCCCACCAGCCAGTGCAGGGGTCTAAAAATTGAAAGCTGCCCACCAGCCAGTGCAGGGGTCTGAGAATGCGAAGATGTGGTCTTCTTCCAGGACAGATCAGAACCATTCTGATTGGTCAAAGCAGTCAAGTACCAGCATGTGACCAATCAGAATCATTCTGATCCATCCCAGATGAAGACTGACTTCAAATTCCCAGACCCCTACACCCGCGCTGGTGGGGGCTTCAAATCCCCAGACCCCTGCACTGGCTGGTGGGCAATGAAAACTTCTCCCAAGCAGGTAAGTGCAGCAGGGACGAGGGGTGGGGAGGGTGTTCGGTGTTAGTTCACCTTTTCATTTTTTGTGCAAAGGTGAATCTACATTTTAAAAATAGCTTCTCCTGCAAATACAGGGATAGTAATAAATAACGATTTCAGATTCAAGTCAATAGAGGCGCAAGCCAAGCTGACCTCTGCATCCTGAAATTCCCCTTCTAGAAATACAGTCACTGCCGCACCAGTCAGTCCTCTGTACTTACCCAGTGCGCCGCTTATTTGCTCTCTGCCCCATGGACCCTCCAGCCTGTGTGCTAGAACCTGGATTTCCTGAGGCCGCTCCAAGAGGTGGGACATCGGACACCATCTCTACAAGAAATAAACAAAAGGAAATTGAATTAAAGTTGAATTCCAGACATGGCAATTTTTACATTGGCAGTAAAACCCTGTGGCTGAGTAGCATTTTTTCTGCCCCTCCTCAATCACCCAAGGCAGAGGCTGGGGGTGCACACATGCAGCAGCTGTGATGCTTTGCTTTACATCCACAGAGTGAATTATACCCCCCCCCCCCCCCCCTCCAATGCGCTCAGCAGGTGGTTCTGCACGCTGAGTGTGCCGGAGGTGTAATGAGGGTGCGCTGCAACCAAGCAGTTGTGGTGCAGGTTTTTGGTATTTAGGGTGTTAAAATGGTGGTGAGGAGGCAATACAACATTGTAGTTCTGACGGAAAGTCCTGTTAGATGCCCTGCACGTCCCTTGCTGTACTTCTGGCGGTGGGTTCTGTTACATGTCTCTTGCTGTACTTCTGGCGGTGGGTTCTGTTACACGTCCCGCATGTCTCTTGCTGTACTTCTGGCGGTGGGTTCTGTTACATGTCTCTTGCTGTACTTCTGGCGGTGGGTCCTGTTACATGTCTCTTGCTGTACTTCTGGCGGTGGGTCCTGTTACATGTCTCTTGCTGTACTTCTGGCGGTGGGTCCTGTTACATTGTCTCTTCTTGTACTTCTGGCGGTGGGTCCTGTTACATGTCTCTTGCTGTACATCTGGCGGTGGGTCCTGTTACATGTCTCTTGCTGTACATCTGGCGGTGGGTCCTGTTACATGTCTCTTGCTGTACATCTGGCGGTGGGTCCTGTTACATGTCTCTTGCTGTACTTCTGGCGGTGGGTCCTGTTACATGTCTCTTGCTGTACATCTGGCGGTGGGTTCTGTTACATGTCCCTTGCTGTACTTCTGGCGGTGGGTCCTGTTACATGTCCCTTGCTGTACTTCTGGCGGTGGGTCCTGTTACATGTCTCTTGCTGCACTTCTGGCGGTTGGTTCTGTTACATGTCTCTTGCTGTACTTCTGGCCGTGGGTCCTGTTACATGTCTCTTGCTGTACTTCTGGTGGTGGGTCCTGTTACATGTCTCTTGCTGTACTTCTTGCCGTGGGTCCTGTTACATGTCTCTTGCTGTACTTCTGGCGGTGGGTCCTGTTACATGTCTCTTGCTGTACTTCTGGCCGTGGGTCCTGTTACATGTCTCTTGCTGTACTTCTGGCGGTGGGTCCTGTTACATGTCTCTTGCTGTACTTCTGGCCGTGGGTCCTGTTACATGTCTCTTGCTGTACTTCTGGCCATGGGTCCTGTTACATGTCTCTTGCTGTACTTCTGGTGGTGGGTCCTGTTACATGTCTCTTGCTGTACTTCTGGCCATGGGTCCTGTTACATGTCTCTTGCTGTACTTCTGGTGGTGGGTCCTGTTACATGTCTCTTGCTGTACATCTGGCAGAGTCCTGTTACACGTCCCGCATGACTCTTGCTGTACTTCTGGCTGTGGGTCCTGTTACATGACCCACGTCTCTTGCTGTACTTCTGGCGTGTCTCTTGCTGTACTTCTGGCGTGTCTCTTGCTGTACTTCTGGCGTGTCTCTTGATGTACTTCCTATCTATTTACTAATGCTAGCAGCATGAGGATTAAATACAGTCAATGATGATTGACAGAGTGAGGTTCCACCTTAAGATGTGAATCACTTTTGTAAATTAAAGACAGACAAAATTTGACATACAGGTTTTTTGTTTTTTTACTGCCCATGATCTGACGTTCACGATGACACATCACACGTCAAGGACAATCGCTGTTTGTGTGCATGCAGGACCAAAGTGTGCATTCGCCTTTGCACGAGGGAACGGTGGGGGGGGGGTGCTTTTTCTTTTTTTATTGCTCTCAAAAGAAATGTAAGCATCCTGTGTGACAGCAATAGGCAGTGACAGGTACTCTATAAGACCCCAGATCCCTCCTCTGCCCTTAAAAGCATTTGATCAGTCCAAGATTGGTGTGATCAAATGCTTTTCGTTTGAAAAATGGCGCCGTTTACATCCCCTGGAAACAGGAAGTGATGTATGCTCATCGCTTCCGCTTTTCCTATATCACAGAGGCGGACAGAGCAATTCCGGTCTTTGTTGGCCTCTATGATCATCCAGTGGAAACGCTGCCTGGTCGGTCAGGTGTCCCGGTGAGACAGAAGAGCCTGAGACAATGTAGAAGGCAGCAGGAGGGAATGTCCCCTCCCGCTGCTTGTAAAAGCAAATCAGCGGCTAGTCAGCCACTAGGATTGCTTTTACAAGAGAGCCAACCTTCGGTTATCAGGATGATAACCAAAGAACAAGAAAACTGCCCCGTGCGCTCAAGAGTGGTGAAATGATGGAAATATTTCCAGTCCTTGAAAACATCAGCACATGCCTTGCTTCCCTGTAAAGGGTCAGGGAAAAATCTAAGAACTCACTTCAAAAACAAGGAAACAAAGGGCGCACCGGCCTACTGCATTACCTGAGAGTTTGCTTTATTGAGTTAAAACGAGATACAGTATCTCACAGAAATGAGTCCACCCCTAAGTGACAAGGTCCAAATTGGGCCCAATTAGCCATTTTCCCTCCCCGATGTCATGTGACTCGTTAGTGTTACAAGGTCTCAGATGTGAATGGGGAGCAGGTGTGTTAAATTTGGTGTTATCGCTCTCACTCTCTGATACTGGTCACTGGAAGTTCAATATGGCACCTCATGGCAAAGAACTCTCTGAGGATCTGAAAAAAGAATTGTTGCTCTACATAAAGATGGCCTAGGCTATAAGAAAATTGCCAAGACCCTGAACCTGATCTGCAGCACGGTGGCCAAGACCATACAGCGGTTTAACAGGACAGGTTCCACTCAGAACAGGCCTCACCATGGTCAACCAAAGAAGTTGAGTGCATGTGCTCAGCATCATATCCAGAGGTTGTCTTTGGGAAATAGACATATGAGTGCTGCCAGCATTGCTGCAGAGTTGAAGGGGTGGGGGTCAGCCTGTCAGTGCTCAGACCATACGCCGCACACTGCATCAAATTGCTCTGCATGGCTGTTGTCCCAGAAGGAAGCCTCTTCTAAAGATGATGCACAAGGAAGCCTGCAAACAGTTTGCTGAAGACAAGCAGACTAAGGACATTACTGGAACCATGTCCCCTAGTCTGATGACACCAAAATCAACTGATTTGGTTCAGATGGTGTCAAGTGTATGTGGCAGCAACCAGGTGAGGAGTACAAAGACAAGTGTGTCTTGCCTACAGTCAAGCATGGTGGTGGGAGTGTCATGGTCTGGGGCTGCATGAGTGCTGCCAGCACTGGGGAGCTACAGTTCATTGACGGAACCATGAATGCCAACATGTACTGTGACATACTGAAGCAGAGTATGATCCCCTCCCCTTCAGAGACCGGGCCGCAGGGCAGTATTCCAACATAACAATCCCAAACACACCTCCAAGACCACCACTGCCTTGCTAAAGAAGCTGAGGGTAAAAGGTGATGGACTGGTCAAGCATGTCTCCCGACCTAAACCCTATTGAGCATCTGTGGGGCATCCTCAAACGGAAGGTGGAGGAGCGCAAGGTCTCTAACATCCACCAGCTCCCGTGATGACGTCATGGAGGAGTGGAAGAGGACTCCAGTGGCAACCTGTAAAGCTCTGATGAACTCCATGCCCAAGAGGGTTAAGGCAGTGCTGGAAAATAATGGCGGCCACACAAAATATTGACACTTTGGGCCCAATTTGGACCTTGTCACTTAGGGGTGGACTCACTTTTGTTGCCAGCAGTTTAGACATTAATGGCGGTGTGTTGAGTTATTTTGAGGGGAAAGCAAATTTACGTTATACGAGCTGTACACTGACTACGTCACATTGTAGCAAAATGTCATTTCTTCAGTGTTAAAATGAAAACCCTCTTGGAGGATACTGAACTATTACTGAAAATCTTTTTTTGGAGGTATTTTCGCACGGCCATTATGGAATGATTCTGAAGGAATTATTGGAGAATACCTATGGGGAATATTATCCTAAAGGATTCTGTTTATTTTATATAGGGTAGGAATATTCACTCTAGCCACTTAGAAGTGCTCACGGCAGGGGCGGATTGACAACTCATGGGGCCCACGGGCAATAGGGGATCATGGGGGCCCTGTATCCTCACCCACACTCAAACCACACCCAAAAAAGCCTATGAAAGGTATCAGGGGCATCTCATGGGGCCCCCTACTGACCCCAGGCCCTCGGGCAGTGCCGAGTTCCCAAATGGTCAGTCCGCCCCTGGCTCACGGGGTGTTTCACATTGTCAAGTGATTCACGGTTATTCCCCTTTTTGCTATTTATTTCATATTTATATGTTTGGAATATTTGAGTTTATATTGAGGATAATACACTATCTAGTTTTTTTTATTTATGTTTTTTGGAGGTACACGGTGGATGTCTACATTGTATTTGGATTATTACATCGAAGGAATAAAGAATTGAGAAGATGCACTGACACCAAGAGGGTTTTTATTTTAGTTTTTGGACTTTCAAGGGTAAAAGTGTGACTTTTTGAGTGTCAATTTAGGGTTCTTGTTTATTTTATTTGGACACCTTTTTTTTGTATTGTATTTCTTCAATGTTGTCACATGAAAAGATAGAATAAAATATTTACATAAATGTGAGGGGAGAAACTGTATATACTCACAAACGACTGTGTTGACAAAGGTATATCAGTATCCAAAGCAATCACATCACTATCACCAGGTCAGCTCCCAAAGCACGAGAAGACCCTCAAATCACTGACGCGTTTCAAGGGGCGATCACCTCTTCATCAGAGCTAATATCAATATGGACATCATCCTGGCATAACCACTTGAAGTCCAATTGTCTAGACGTACTGGTACGTCGCTGTTTCACAAGCGGTTATTCCTTCACACTGCGAATTACGCCATGATGTGTTTCAAGGGGCGAACACCTCTTCATCAGAGCTAATATCAATATGGACATCATCCTGGCATAAGCACTTGAAGTCCAATTGTCTAGACGTACTGGTACGTTGCTGTTTCACAA